ATGATTATGATGATGATGGTGATGATGATGGTGATGATGATGATGATAAAGAAGAACCCAATATAATTAAAAAGGTTGGGGAAGAAGAAGGTGAAAGTTTGGTGGGTGATGGTAAATGGGTGAAAGAATTATGGGCTGAAAAATACAATTACAAAGGAAAAAATATGACTAACGGTGTTTGTTATTGATAGATAAATAATGTTGTTTTCACCGTCACCATTATTCTTAGCACTGTTACTACTAGTGTTTATATTTATTTTAGGTTCTTGACTTTGTTATATACTAGATCATAGTATTACTAACTTTAGAAGTTACATAATATTTCAAAGACATCTACACGTCATATTTATTTATTATTTATTTCACATTCATTTGCTTGTTGTGTATTCATTTCTTTATTTTTATTCCTTTCCTTTTGTGTATTATTATAATTATTAAAATAAATGTAAATTATTTATTACTTAATATTATTAAAATGACCAATGCTCATATAAAAAAAACAAAAAATTAGCCATTCCGGCATTGCAAAGTTTATAAGTCTCATTCCAAAGAGTTAAAATTTTCTCAATCACCTCTTTGATACTGTGTGTTTTTAAACTTATATCCCATTTTAATTTCTCAATTACATCAAATACACATACTTTTCCGACATGACATTTGTTTCCATCTTTTTTCTTTTTAATTTGAAATAAAGAAAATTTTAGATTAAGAAAAATAAATATTCATAACTTACTGCATATCCACAAAGATAACACCAACTTGTAATCAATCCCCTATAAAATATATATATATTAATATATCAAAGATGATTATTAATAACAAACTTTAAAATTTAACTAATAATTATTCGACTATTACATTATAAAGGCCCATGTAAATAGGGTCAGCAGTTGTTCAATATGCCAAACAGATAATTGTTCATATGGTACGGCTGAAGGTCCTGATAAATGTAATCCTTTTGCGGCTTGTCTTTCCCCAGGTGCCTCGTATGCAACCACTGGCAAGCCATAAGT